TCAAAGTCCACAGCCATTATGATGGCCACCTATACACTAACTATTAATCTACCTACTCCACAGAAGACCAAAAGATTACAATGAACCATGGAATATGGAAGCAAACATAGTGGACAGAAGGAAAATGGTTTTGGAACATGTACCACCTAAGTGGAAGTTTGGTTGTGGGAATTAGTCACATCATATTACATCTTTGTTGCCTATAAGAAAATGCCTTTAGAAGCACTCCTTTCTCAAAATTGCCATTTTCTGCTGGACATGTGGCACACACCTATAAGCTCAACACTCAGGAGGCTGAGGCAGGAGGATTGCTGAGAGTTCAAGGCCAGCCAGGGCTACATAGTGAGTTCAAGGTCTACACAGCTACTATATAGCTACCATGTCCACAGAACATAGTTGTGTTTTGTTGATTTGTGGCAGGGCAGTCAAGAGCACAGTGCTGTTTATTCTATGAGCACTTTTCCATCTTCTAAACAAAGATATGCCTAATTATATACTATCCTATAACCACCAAAAGACAGTACTGACAATGATACATTTTTAACTTTCGGTTTTTAATTCTTGTACATTGTAGAATAACAATAGTGAGATCTTCAGTATTATTTTCATGTTTCCCTGAGAGGACCTGGCACAATATTTAAATTTAATTACTTTGGTATGGGCAGTTACTGTTTTTGACAACCAGGGAAGTAGTGTCTCAATATCTTGTATACTTTTAGCATTAAAATGTTTTGTTTTCCACTTTTAATAGGTGATTGATGTTTAACATAGACATTTAAACTGTTGTTAACATGTTAAATTCAAAACAAAATATTTTAGGACTATAAAATAAACTACAAAATGTTGATCTTGGTCAGCTCAGTGATGTGAGCATGTCTTCATATCTTTTCTAACATTACGGTACATAAGTGAATACAACTGCCTTTTAGTGATTTAGTAGTTATGAACTTGAATTATCACCTGTTTCTCATACTTAGATAGCAGAAAAAATTTCCCACTTCTGAATATTTTTCTCCATGCTTTCACATTAAGAATCTTTGAATTATTTCCAGGGCTGTATAAATTACACTTATTTTGAAGAAAAATGATAATTTTCAGTTTTGCCCTTACAAGTTTTCTTTTAGGTAACATTAATATATCTGAAACAGTACAAATCTTATAGAAGGGCCTTGTGCTATTTAATGCTGCTGGTAGAGATCTTAATTGACTTAAGAGTTTTATAAATGAACTACTTTTGATAAGAAATTTATTCTGTCCTAGTTTTCTGAATAGGAAATCATAGACAGGTTGATTTGGATTAAATGTGCTAACAAAGTAGTTTTAAATTTTTGCTGTTAGGTAAACTCTACCTTTTAATATTTTAAATGTATTATAATAAAGCCTGTATGAAAAAGTTTCCTTTATTTGGTTAAGAGATTTTGTCTATGAATATTTTTATTCTGATATACAAAATCCCTACAGTTAAAAATAAAATGGATTGGTTATGGTAGTATATGCCTCCAATGTCACCTACTTGAGAGGCTGAGGTAGGACTGAAGCCAGTCTGGGCAATTTAGTGAGATCTCGTGTCCGGAAACAAGGTGGGAGTAGAGATCAGTATAAGACTGCTTACTTTGCATGTAATGCGTTCTGGTTCAATCCCCAGTACCAAAAACAAAAACACCACAGTTAAGAACAGTTGCAAATATGATGCAATGATGCATACTAAAATTAGTGGGAAAATTTTAAGAAGAAAAAGATATTTGAATATCAAAGTATTTCCCAAGTGTTTATTCATTAAAAAAGTAAACATAGTAACTTTATAGCTGAAAAATCTAGCAGGTAATATCACCTTCCATCAAGTGATTTAAGGTTAATGTGACCAGTAGTTGAGACTTTCTGACACCATGTACCTCTGAAAGAAAGGCTGAGAAAAAGCACATCATCTTCGTGGTGATCTTCAAAATTGACACCTCAACTTACCCCTGAGAAAATACTAGACAAACCCACACTCAGGGATGTTTTACAAAATACCTAACCAAAGCTCTTTTTTTTTAAAAAAAAAAAAAAAAAAAGGCAAGATGTGACAAGAGAAACTAAGAAGCAGACACAGACTAGAGAAGACTTGGAGACCTGACACTATACTGGATTGAATCCTGAACAGAATGAAGAGTGGATTCAAATAGTCTATAGTTTAATTCACAGTATCATTCCAGTGTTAACTGCTTTGATAATTTTACCACGTAAAGTACTAACATTAGTGAAGGCTCAGTGAATGATACATGGTGTCGTACTTTTCTTCTTGCTGAGACAAAATACTCGACATCCAAAGTAAAAGGAGGAAAGGTTTACTGTAGCTCACAGTTTGTAGAGGTTTCAGTCCATAATCAGCTGGCTCTAAGGCAGGGTGGCAGGACAGAGGGGGCTTGCAGAGGAGAAATAGTTCATGACAGGTAGAAGACAGCAAAAGTAGCAAGCAGCAAGCAATAAGCAGCAATCCTCTTTCTGTCCTGTATATCTCATTCAGGCTGACCATCTTCATGGCTGGTATCACTTATACCCAAGGTGGGAGAGCCTTAATCCTAGCATCACATCATGTATCAATCCTAGCACCGTGTCCTTGATTGTCCAGCATCACATACCCTAGCTCTAACCACCTTTGAGAAGCCCCACTTATGACTATGTGAGACTTTGGGAGACATCTAGATACAAGCCTTAACACATGGGAACTTGCTGTATTATTTTTGTAACCCTTCTGTAAGTCTAATATTATTTCAAAATATTAAGTTTTTTAAACTACACAGATTCTGATACTGTAAACCTGGAAGCCCCAGGTTCTGCTTTTCTAACAAGTTTCCAGCAGAGGTGAAACCCCATTCTGAGCACCAGTGATTCTCAAACTCAATGGTGCATCAGAATAACCTATAGAGGATTTAAAAACAGATTGCTGGGCCTTACTCCCAGTGTTTCTCATTCACTAAGTCTGAAGTAGGGCCCCAAAATTCACATTTTTAGCAACCTCCTTGATGATGCTGATGTTACTGATGGAACAAGAACAGTTCTTATGTTTTTAAAGGGTTATAAAAAATTTACAAAAACAGGAATATGAAACAGAGCCTGAGTCTGGCCTTCAAAGACTAAAATATTTAAAAGAAATGGTTAAGCCCTAGACCCTTGCTACTTAGAATAAAGTTTTTTTAAAAAAAGTTTTTATTAGTACATATTTGCGGTACATAGTGATTAGATTCTGCGTGGGGAGTTAGTACATGTACATAACACATCTTAATTCTTTTCACTTCCACCTCTGCTACCTTCTCACTCCTTCCATCTCTTGGTTCTCTTCCCATTTGCAAAAGATCTGGTAGAATAAATCTGAAATAACTACAATAATTTTAAGAATTAGATTTGTGTTTTGTGTCTTTCTCATCTGTCTTTTTTTGTTTTTTGAGAAAGCAACTTGCTATGTATTCCAGACTGGTCTTGAACTTACTCTGTAACCCAGGTTGGCCTCGAACTTGTGGCAATCCTCCTGCCTCAGTCTCCTGAGTGCTGAGAATACAGTTGTTCACCACAACATCCAGCACCTTAGGGTAAAATGGAATTTCAGCGTTGCTTTAATTTGAATTTCTTTAGTGGCCGATGAACATTTCTTTATGTATTTATACTTTGCCACTTGTATTTCTGCAGACAAGTGTCTATTCATTTCACTTGCCTATTTTTTGATTGGCTGCTTTATTTTGGGGGGAGTTCTAACTTTTTTGAGTTCTTTATATAAAGTACTAGTCCTCTGAAGAATAGCTAGCAAAAAGTATTTCCTGTTCTGTAGGTTGTCTCGTCATTCTGTTGACGCTTCTTTTGTTGTGTGGAAGCTTTTTAAATTGATATGATCCCATTTGTTTTTTCTTGGTACTATTTCCTTCAGAACTAGGGAACCCAGAGCTTTTACACTGACCTACTTCCCCAGCTCTTTAACTTTTTTAAAAATTTTCTTTATTTTGAGCCAAGGTCTCACCAAATCACTCAGGTTGGGCTCCAACTTACAATCTCCCTGCTTCATCCTTGGAGGGCTGGGATTATGAGTGAGTGGCACTAAAACTTAAAACAAAACAACAACAACAACAACAAACATTGCTTGGCTGGGGATGTAGCTCAGTTGTAGAACACTTGCCTAGTATGTGCTACACAAGCCCTAGCATGGTTTGTGTACAAAGCCCTGGGCTCAAGCCTGAGCATCACAAAAACAAACCAAAAAGCTAAAAGACACTACTACCTAGGTGTGCCCCTTAGTGATTCTTAGTTCATTTGGCAAAGGTCCTTGGCACCAGTGTTTTTAAAATACTCATTCTTTAGTGTGATGTGCAATCAAGCTTGAGAATTACTGAGTTAGACTGTGTGCCTCAGAAAAAACCTGCCCGCCCCTGCCATCCCAGAGAGTCAGAGACGAGCCCAAACAAAACAGGGTCCCTGAGCCCAAACAGGGTCTTTCCTTCAATTTCACACTCATTTCAAAAAGTGGAGCTACACTTTCGTGAAATCATCAAACCAAAACATGAAGTCAATATTATATCTCACCTGTGTCCCCTCTGAAGTGAACATAAAGGAAGATGGGATTATGTATCAGTAATCATGAAGGATACCACACAAAAAGCAAGCAAACTCAGAAGGGTCTGAGTAGATGGGCTAGGAGAAACAGACAGCAATAGAGTGATAAAGGAGAGATTTTCCCTATGACGTGGCTGAGAGGTAGCAGGGCACAGGGTGTTAAGCGAGCTAAGGGAAGGGGAGAAAGACCCTTGCAGGCTGAGAAACGGTGGTGACACTTGAAGAAACAAATACCTTTCACCTCAGCCCAACTCCAACATTTTTTGGTTTTCCATGTGAGCATTATCAACACCAGAGGTCTCTATCTGGCCAACTCCTTCACACTCTTACCCTTTGCTTATTTCACCTACAAAGAGGAAAGCTCAGAGCCTCTTCTCCTTATAGCCCCTTCTAGAAAAGGTCTGTGTTTGTTCTCTTACCTGTGCTTTCCTCGGCCTGATTGAAACCACAGATCTGGCAGATGCTCTGGACCCACTTATTCATGTCCTCTTCTGTCTCAGCCACCAGGTAAAAGGTTCGCTCGCTGGTCTTAATATCAAACACAAAACTATCCTGAAGCTCCTTCTTGTTGAAGGTCAGGCCTGCATCCACCTGCTCACAGAAGTTCAGGTTGATGATCCTTAGGGGCTTTTTGGAGTGATCATTCTTGTAGTACTCCAGCACATCTGGGTCACCACTCATCCGGCCACTCCGCAGGATAAACCAGCGTTTCTTCCAGGCCTAAACACACCAGGAAGGAGCAACGAGATGGGAGAGATGCTGTCAGTTATTTCAAAGCTTTTAATATGTCCTTAGACACTATAGGTTAAAGTGGGCACTGCTAGACCTGCAGGCTGCTCATAACTTATGTCTCCCTTTCAAATTTCCCAGAGTTTCAAAAATGGAGGATGATTTTAGAATGCGAGTTATTGTAACATTTCACTATGGAGTCAAGGTCTTATGACTACAAAAGAAAATGTAGCATTCCTACATTTTAAATCAGGAAATTAAATGAGGCCACTTCAGAGCAACTATTCCTTTCAGGCTAGAATACAGATCCAAACTCTTAGTACTTTTAGGCAGGGTTACAACTTACAAAACCATAACATATGTGTTTGATTATAGATGGGGACCCTCCAAAAAAGGATGGTGAGTTAAAGAAACAATGTCACACAGTAAGTAACAGAAAAATAAGTTTCCTAACTTTTTACAATGTGTTTTTTACTAAATCATGATGTTTTAGAAGAATCACACAGAAAAATCCTTCTAAAAGTCCCTGAAGCACATAACTTCAGAATTTTTTTTTTGTTTACCACTATGCATGTCTCTGGGACTTATAGTTGTGCCTTGCTCATATTAAGCACTCAGTATGTATTACTTAATGGACTCCCCATACCATCCCACACTATAGAATTTAAAACTTGATTACATATTACTTTATACTATCTTCTGTATCCCATTTTGTCACCAACAGTGAGCAGATATCACACTAAATGATAAAAAAATTACACATAATCCAGAATTTTTGGTTGAGTCTATGCTTTACCACTGAATTACTGCATGACTTTTGACTAAGTCATTTACCTCCTTTCAACTAAGTCATTTGCTTTAACTATATAAAGAAAATCACCACTACCATCATCACTATCTACCCTTCTACCTCTTGGGGTTTTAATTATGGAAATGTGCCCACATACTTTGTGTAAAACTCTAACACTTAAGCACCTAAAATACCATATCTGTGGATAATGTGTACACACCTCCTGGGATATAAACTCCGTTGCTGCAGGGATTCTTTATTATGTGTTCCATACTATATGGTGTTTAGAATTGTGCCTATCTTATAGCTGATCAATAAATACACCTATTAATTAATATATATTAATTACATGAAATCCTTACAGCACATAGTAGGTCAAGGGGGACCACAACTGGTGCCTAATAAGGTTCAGATTGAAATGAAAACTGAGGTATAACTGTACACAATAGATTTAAGGAAAATAAAAAATAAGTACTATTTATTTGCAGTCCCCTAAACTCTTGCTCAGGTCACTGGTTTGAGAACTCTGCAGGTGCACACAGACACAGTGTGTGTGGGGGCAAGGTGCATTTAAAGAAGGTATTGTTAACAGTTCACCTGGTGTTTCATTCAATATATATCCCCCTTGTCTCTGTGGAAGAAGCCATCCCCAAATCACTGATGTGCAGATGTACACATAAACAAAACATACACAGATACCCTTGAAAAGACGACAGTGATGTTTGCTACAGATAACTTCAGAGCCTGTTGGGTTCTGCTTGCAAGGAAGTGGTGCAGGCAGATAAATGGCTGCCTACAAAATGCTAATAAATTTACAACAGAGAAGGCAAGGCTGTCTACTTGAGTTCCAAATTCACTTCCCTCCTTTGCCACAACTCCTTACCAATTTCACACATTTTTAAAAAAATCCAGACAATCCAGAATCAAATGTAAACAATCTCAAAATGTCTCATCTCAGTGATGGCTTGCTTCCTTGGTCCCTTCATCTGAAATGGATCTCCACTTCCTCCAAACCTCCATAATGTTTTAATATACTTTTCACTGTGTGTCATTTTTATAACCCATTACAGATATTTCTGTACTTAACTATTTCTAAACAGACTAATAGTGAGGATTCTTCTCACTGAGCCTTTCGTACCTTGCTGCTCTCATTGATGTTTCCTTTCTCTTTTCCTCACTTCTCTATTTCCTTGCATCCTTACATCTATTCAACCAACAAATACTCAGTGATGGTGGAACCTATGGCATGTGTGCCACAGAGGGTTGTTTGTTATCACTGAAAGCTCTAAAAGGTTTGCCATCACTGCTCTAAAGATTATTCTAGATGGATATAATATGAATTCCTGGTCTCACAGAACTTACAGGTACAAAACAAATTACAATTATTTATTATTCTCTAAAAGTATTGGATAATTTTATGAATACATGTCTGCATAACCTGTGGAATCTTCCTGGAATGTCTTTCACCTTACCTCACCTACCTGGAGAATTGTTATGACTCTCTGTCCCAGCTCAAATGTCACTTCTAGAAGGCCTTCACTAACTCCCCCAGGTAGAACTGGTGCTCCTTCTGTGTTCCTTTAATAACTGACACTTTTGCCTACTTGGCCATTTCTTCCTCTAAATTTGGCATTGCAACTGTTTATATGTTTTTCTCCCCTTTAAGCCCTTAACATCTTAAGGTGTGGGTCCTGTGTGGCCAATGGCTACTTGGCAGTTTGCTTAATAAACATATGGAATTCACTGACGATCTGTTGGGATTTTTTAATTCAATGAATATTAATTTCTTCAAGTTAGTAACTGCAATTTAAAAAATACAACTTACCTTTCACAGTAGGAAGTATGAAATGACATAAAGAAGACTACAGAAACAAAGTAAGATAAGGATACAAACTGGATTCTCTGTAATGTGTGTTCTCTTGCATCTGTTCCTTTCATTCTGATAAGTAGAGTGACTATGTAATAAATATTTATAAAGGGGTTTGGGAGCTTTCATTGAAAAGTGCCCCATGCCACAGAAATGAAGAATTCCTTTTTGATTATGACATATAATGCAGCAAGATCTCACTATGTAGTTCATGCTGGCCTTGCACTCACTATGTAGTCCAGGCTGGCCTCAAACTCAGGGCAATTTTCTTGCCTCAGCCTCTCGAGCACTGGGATTACATGTGTGTGCCACTAGGAAACATAAATATGCTGTTAAAGACAAAGTGTTTTCAGGTCTGCTCTCCTACTTACAAAAAATCTCATACAAAAATTAACTCAAAATGAATTATGAAAAAAACAAAGGCAAAAAATGAACTATGGACTTAAAATATAAAACACAAATGGAGTTTAGCAACCTATAAAATTATATACCCAAGTGAAGTTTATTCCAAAGAGGTAAGGGTAATTCAAATTTGAAATAAATCAATGTAATAGAGGGGAACTTTTCAACTTGATAAAGAACATCAACAGAAGACCAACGTTCAATGTTATACTTTGTTTTGAAGACTAAATGTGGGCCAGGGAGATAGCTCAGTGGCCTAAGCGCCTGCCTGGCAAGAACAAGGTCCTGAGTTGGATTCCTGGTACAAAAAAAAAAAAAAGACTAAATGCTTTCCCCTAAGATCAGGAACAAGGCAAGGATGTCCATACCTATCATTCTTATCCAACACAGTACTAGAAGTTCTAATCAAGTATTAAAGCAAGAAACATAAAAAAGGCATATAGATGAAAGGAAGAAAAACAATACCCTGCATTTTCAGATTTTTGTCAATACAGAAAATCCTAAGAAATCTAAAACACACAAATAAAAACACACCTCTGGGGACTCCAAGGTCTCAGGATACAATATAAAAACACAAAAACCAATTTACTTGTATGTGCTATCAATAAACATGTGGGCATAGAAAATAGAAGACTGTTGGGCCTGAGAGTGTGGCTCAGTGGTAGAAGGCCTGCCTAAGATGCTTAAAGTCCTCGGTTCAGTCCCTAGCACCACAAAAAAAAAAAAAAAAAAGAAAGAAAAAATATAAATTTTTAAATGAAAAAGTATAAATTTAATGAAATCTGTGCACAGTATGTGTGCCAAAAATCATATAATAGTGATGAAAAAAATCAAACAAGATCTAAAGAAATATACCATGTTCATGGACTGGAAGATTCAACATGGCAGCCATTTTTGTAGATGTAGACAAAATTATATTCTAAAATGTGTATGGAAAAGCAAAGAAAGCATAATAGCTAAGACAATTCTAAATAATAAAATGAAAGGAATTAATGTACCATATTTTAAAACTTGTTACATAGTTATAATAATCACAATTATGTGGTCCTGGTAGAGAGATGTGTAGACATATAGAACAACAGAGTTGAACACAGAATGCAAAATATTAGACCCACATTACATGCTGAATTATTTTTTGGCAAAGGTGCAAAAGCAATTAAATAGAAAGAACAACAGCCTTTTCAACAAATGATGCTGAAGCAGTTGGGTGTCTTTAGAGGGAGAGGTGGTGGTTGATCATAATCTCACACTGTTACACCTTAGAGAAAAACTAAATCAAAATGAACCATGAACTTAAACGTAAAACTTTAGGACACTTAAGGAAAAAAATAGGTGGAAATATTTATCTTCTCATGATCAATCGTTTCTTCTATAGCATTAAATGAAATAAACACAAATTCTGCTGAATGCTTTAAGGGAAAAAAGAAAAGCAAAATCCAAATACTCCTTTTCATGTAACTTACAATATTTGCAAAGTTGCAAAGTTAAAATAAGACATTAATATATGTCCTTAAAATAGGCAGCAGAGTCTTACAAGTACCATAAAAAGACATAACATACTATTACAGCACTGAAGCAGGAACTCAAACTTCTAATCATGGAGAGAAAGGGGGGAAATACAAGGGAAGAAAGGGAAAGGACATGGTTTGTGTCTAGATGTTTCCTCCAAACCTCATGCAGTTATAGGTTTTTTTCAGAGGTGGCTGAATCTAGAGTGTGTGACTGATTTGTGGTACAATGCTGAGATTAAGGGTGGTGACTGCTGGATCAGTCCACTGTTTGGATTGGTACCACCCTAATTCCGGTAGATGGATACAGTATAAAGGACAGAAAGAGGCCTATCTCATTCTCTCTTGTTGCTTTAGCTATCTTCTGCCACTATGAACTGTTACCTTCTGCCATGTGCCACCCTGCCTTGGAGCCAGCTGATTA